TGTCCTGGTCCCCCCCGGCCCCTATGGGGGTCCCAGGGTGGCAGGGTCTGGCTCCATCCCCTGAGCCACGAGGGTCCCGGTGTCCCCAGGCTGGCCCCCGCCGGGCGAGGGTCCCTGTCCCCCAACCACCCTGTCCCCCTGCCCGGGTGATGGGAGCCCCCACAACCCTGAGCCGCCCCCGTCCCATCCTGGGGTGACAGTGTCCCCCTGTCCCATCCCGCAGTGACAGTGTCCCCATGTCCCAGACTGGGGTGACAGCGTCCCTGTGTCCCATCCCAGGGTGACAGCATCCCCGTGTCCCATCCTGGGGTGACAGCGTCCCTGTGTCCCATCTCGGGGTGACAGTGTCCCCATGTCCCATCCCAGGGTGACAGCGTCCCCGTGTCCCAGACTGGGGTGACAGTGTCCCCGTGTCCCATCCTGGGGTGACAGCATCCCCGTGTCCCATCCCGGGGTGACAGCATCCCCGTGTCCCAGCCTGGGGTAACAGTGTCCCCATGTCCCCCTCTACCAGAGCTTTTTTTTTTTGTTTTTTCCTTTTGATCCTTTCTAATTTATTTGCTGCTTTGGGGGCTGGGGGAGCCACCGCAGAGCCCCGGGGGACACCAGGAAGGGTGTGGGACACGGTGGCTTCTCCGTGCCAGAGCTCGCTTCGTCCTACCGTGTAGGACCAGGGCTCGGCCCCGCGCCGGCCGCGGCAATTAAATACGTGGTTGCTCCTGTGCCGGTGTCTGCCTGGCTCCGTGCGGGGTGAGCGGGGCCGAGTGCGGGATGGGGTGAGGCAGGGAAGGCGCCACCAGACCCCTGGGGACAGGGGGGTGGCCCTGGGGTGGCCCCGCAGAGACGGTGGCACGCGAGGCGCCAGGGGACATGAAGGGGTTTGGCAAGGCGCTGGCTTGGGGGGACAGGGCCGGGGTAAAGGAAAGCTCTGCGGGGGGCTTTATTACGGAACAGTACCAAAAAAAAAGTATAAGCGTTGAAATTTCCGCATTTCCAACCATTTTCCTCAGCAGAGAAGGGGTCCCAGGCACTCGGCTCCTCGCTGAGGGGGCCGCAGGGGACCCACCACCGCCGAGCGGCAATTTATTCTGCGATAAATACCCCGGCGCCGCGCCTGGCACGGGGGAAACCAATCTGATAGAGGCGAGATTAAGGAAATAATCAGCTTTGGCAGCGAGCGGCGCCCCGTGGGCCAGGGGGGGCCCGGGTTCGGTTATCGCCCCGCGCGGGCGCCCGGAGAGGATTTAGCTTGCGTTTCCGTGACCTCCTCCGCTCATCCCTGCCGGATTTACAACGCCCCGCTTCCGATTTCGGATAAGGGGGCCCGGTTAGAGCTGGTCACAGCAAGCGAGAGGGAAAGGGGCGCCCAATCACCCCCAAAGCGGTTCCATTCACCCTGCGCCACGGAGGAGGAGGAGGAGGAGGAGAACAACCCGCGCTCCTTTTCAGATCACAACTCTGCGCCGGCGTCCCCGGGAAGCGGCCGGGAGCAGGCGGCGGGAGCGCGAGGGTGGAGAGGGCGCGGGTGAGAAAAGCCCTGACGTGGCGGAGCGCGGCGCGCGTGGGAGGTTATTTACCCGCTCCCAACAGCCCGCCGCCGCCACGGCCGACTACGCGCCGAGCAGAAAACTGCTGGGCTCGGCTTAAAAAGCTCCAAGTCCTTTCTGTGGAAGAGCAGAGGATGGAGCCGGGTTTAAATTCTTTCCAACGCTGGGCAGAGATCAAATCCTCCTCGTCTTTGTTCAGGCCCCGTACGCGAGCACGTCTAAAAATAAAATTAACGTGTGATTCCCCCGGCCGGGGCGAAGCAGCGAGAACACTGTCGGCTTTATCTGTTCCAACTCTAAACCGAATCCAGTTACCGGGAGCGCCACGGACTTTTTGTTTCCCTCCTGAAGGGGAAGTTTGTTTCCCAGCTGAGGGGACTTTTTGGCAAAACCGACCCTTTTCAGGGGAAGGAGGGAAATCAATGAGAAGCGCGGGGCTGCGGAAGGCACAACACAGCGTTTATATACGCTACAGCTGCCGAGCCCTTCAAATTTACAAATAATAAGGACAAATTTCGGGCAAAACCTAAAAGCCGAAGTTGTCCGTGTCCCTTCACCTCCGTAAACGCTCCCGGGTATCGGGAGAACCTGCCTGGATTTATTTAATGCTGTCTCGAAGCCTCCGACTTGGATTTTTAGATGACATCGTGAACGTGCCAGGGAACGGAAGCAACTAACGCTGGGAGTCAGCGAGGAAGCGCTGAGGTGATGGATAACCAGGATCCGAGTCTCTCAACGCTCAGTCGTAACAAATAATTATTAAAGCCGCTTCAAAACACCGCTTGGAAAAGATAAAAAAAAGTCATCTTTATAAATACAGCGACACTGGTTATAAATAAACATGCTTGGGGTCTCCAAGGGCCGGGAAGCTGCGGCAGGAACGGCCCCGCAACCCCTCCCCTCCTCCCGCTCGCTGGTGAACCCCACGGGCCAAACGTCGCCAGGGTTTTGGCAGATCCCACCTTCCTTCCAGCCCCGACCTCCAGGAGCTGGCGGATTTTAGGATGAAAAGCAGTTTCTTCTCGGGGTGAGAAATTCCTTCAGAGCCGCCACCATATGTTTGTACCCTTAGGGACGGGTTAGGCCGTGTTCCGCCTCCGCCGTCACGCTACCGGCTGATCTATCGGCAGAGAAACGTTAACAGAGGCAGCGCCCGAACCAACAGAAAAATGCATCGTCCGGACACACTTGGGACATAACAGGGAAAAACGCAAAGCAAGGACCACGACATTGAGTTGTTACCCTGACTCCTGCCAGCCGTTACCAAACCAGGACAAAACCAGCCCAGCCCAGCAAAGTACGGGCCGGAAGAGCCAGGATTTTTTGCTCTTGCGAGGAGGAATTCTCAGCTGGCAGGGCGGCTGCTCGGCCTCGGAGCTGCAAGCCACTCCTCACCCTTGAAGCCTTTTTGCAACCAACGGCCCCGCTTGCGTGATGGAGTTTTTCTAAACTTGCCTCCTTTATGGCATTTTTCTAACCTTGACTTGAGCACCTTTCATGCTCAAGCGCCACGCGAGTATTCGGGGAGCTTCCGAGCAGTTCCCCGCTGCCTCGGAACCCATAACCCGCCGGACCCAGCGGATCCCTGCTCTGAACAGGCCTGCCAGGAGTAAAAAAAAAAAAAAAGCAGGGACATTTCAGTAACGAGATCAGCTGCTTGTTAAAAAAAGGTTTTAGTATCTTTAAAAATAAAAGCTGTTTAGTAAAAAACCCAACCCCTGACATAGGTACAACCCAGAGCGAGCGCGACTCCCGCCGTACGGCTTTGCATACGCCATCAGCTAACGGCCCTGTTCCGCACCGAAGCCTCGCACAGAACGTTAGACAAAGCATGAGAAAACTGAGGAGGAATTTTTTGCGATCCCTTTGGGCAGTGAAGGGGCCTGACAAAGAGCTCCCCCAAATTGTTCCTGAAACAAGGAGGGCAAAGCGCCGTATTCCCTGATAGCGCGAAAGGCTCCGGCCGATGGACGTTCGGCCCGGCCTTTGCTCTTGCATTGAAGGTTGCCTCAGTCGAAAGGATTCAAGGTTTTGGAAGAAAAAGAACCCGTCACTCACTCTGCAGCTGAAAGGGGAAATCCCCTCCGCACCCCTCAGGATTTTAGAGCAACCCCCCAAGCGATTGCTGCTTCCGAAGGCGCAGATCCGGTCACTCGGCGTCGCAGAAGGGAGCGAACACCTCGGGTTACGGCGGAGTCCGTTCCCAGCGCTGCGCTGCCCGGGCAGGCGTGGGCCAACACCAGCTGCCTTGGCAATGAGGTATTTCTCTTCCTCTCCCCAACGATGCAGGTATTGACATCGCTAAATACGCCGTCAGGTCACTTGCTGGCTAAAATTTTGTTAAAAAGCTTCCAGTCTCTCAAGGTCGAGCTTCAAAAGCACCTTTTGGCACCGTGCTGAAAGCAGAGTTATGTTGGGAGCGGCTGGGGGAGCTTCCACCCCTGGCGACGGGGTGGCTCTGCTCTCCGCACCGCTTGCCAACAGCACCTTATTTAACAACAACAAAAAACACCACCAAAAAGTCATTTTCCTTTGCAAAAAGCGCAGTCAATCACCGAGCATTAGGAGGTGACGGTCTCCACAGCGATATCGGTCGGCTGATCCGTTTCCAGCATGGACAGCACGGATTCCTTGATGTCTTCCGAGGTTACCACAAGCGAGTCAACCTCGGCGACCTCTTCCAGCACCATCGCCTCCACTCCGTTGGGCTGCTGCCTCACCATGGCCGCCAGCTTCAGCCGGTACTCCTCCGCCTCCTGCTCTTTCTTTATCAGCTGGCTGCGATATTCCTGAGCCTGCCGGTTCGCCTCTTGCAACTGCTGCTGCAGCGCTTCCCTTTCAACGCTGTCCTACAGAAAACAAAAGTTGAGAGAGCCCACGATGGAGGCCCGAGCTGCGACACGAAGGCAACGGGGTGTGCAAGCACTCCCAACTGTTACGAGTTACAAACGGCAAACGCCGTAAGGCAGCGCTAGGAACGTGCTCGGGTCGCGTTCTGTTCAACTGGCTTGCTCACCGCAAGTTACCAGAGGCAACCGGGCCCCGGCGAGGCACAACCGGCTGGCAGGTGCCCCCACGGCGTGCAGGGCGGTGGGCTGGGTAGTTACGCCTCATTTCACCGCGATGAATCTCAAAACTTGTAAGCAGGTGTAACCAAAAAGCAAGAAAAAGAGCTGTTAGCGCTGGCAAGTTGAGAGGCAATTGAGAAGAACGTTCTTCCTCCCCAGCAGAGTGGTGGGAGAGTCGTTCCCGCTGCTTTATGAAGAGCTGAGGCTTGGCCTACACCCAGCCCACGTGTTATGCTTCTACAGGAAATCTTAAATCATCTCAGCAAATGACCACGATTCATCCAAAACCCCTGAGCTACAGCTTCAGCGCAGGCAAAACGGCAACAAAAGATTTAGCTGGCGCTCTTCCTCCTACCTACACCCGACCGAGCATCGCGCCTCTCAACCGCTTGCGTGTTCAAGGCAGAAGCGCGTGCGGGAAGAGCTGGGAACTGCCCAGAGTTTGTCACAGAGACAGCCCCGGGCTCAGCCGAGCAGGGCGCAGCTCCTTTCTGTTCCGAGATGGCTCTGGCAGAGCAGGAGCACGACATCCTCAGGACAGCAGAGAAACAGGCAGGAGATGGCGGCAATCAAAGTTACAAGCGGGAGTATCTACCTTGTCTTCCTTCGAGTCATCTACATCTTGTTCTACTTTTTGCTTCTTGGCCAGTGGCTTTTCTTCCTCTTCTGCGTCGTCTCTGTCTTCAGTAACAGTCTCTTCTGCAACCTGACCAGCAGGTACAGTTAAAACTGAAAAATGAAAAAGGTGACAAGTTATACAGTGTGAGACATGCTTTTGCACAGATGTTTCCCAGAAGACTTCTCTGAAGTCATCAGCGTGGTTCTGGAGAGAAAGAGCAGACCTGTGGATCGGCAATGCCGAAGTCTTCCCGGAGAGGAGAGAAACTCTGGCCCGGGTTTCCAGTTCTGTTTATTTAGGCCTCTGAAATACCCGAGTATTTCACCACCACGGGGCTGACAGAATCCGAAGTCAAAGGTTTGCATCTTAGAAAACACGTGAGGTAAAAACTACCGTTCTGATGCAGCTCATAGCCGAGACGGGCCACGCAAGAGGAATAGAAAGCTCTTCTTGAAAATTCCCAGTACAGACGGCCCCGGGGGCTAAGCTCTGAATCAGCTTTAAGTGCATGCAAGAGCTGCAAATGCTCCAGAGAATAAACGCATTTTAAAGCTGCAAACATGGGCTTTCACTTTGGGAAGGCAGCAGCAAGAATTCGTCCAACCAAGGAGGAGAAAGGCACCACGTGAGCCACGGAAGGTAGCCCTACCTAAACAGTTCTCCCTTTGTCTCTCTTAGTCTAAGAAGGGGTTACAAGCCAGGAATTATTTGTGGTAATTTGGCAAATAATTCTGAATAATTAACAGCTTTAGAAAATTGCTTTTCACTTGTGAAGTCCGCAAACAGACAGAACTGATGTAACCCATCTCACATTGTGACACTGTACACGGGTTACAGGAGAGCTGCTCTGCTTCCTAATCCTCTTTTTCTGCACCAACGTTAATCCAAATAATCGAGTATCCCTAGGACACACTAAAAGAGTCGTGGGTAGTAGACAAGGCTGATGAATTACATCCCTCGAGGAAACAAAAATTCCCTGTGCGAGCGCTCTGAAGCTCTGCCCTGCTTTACTGAACACGATTTACATTTGCCTTGTGAAACTGATAAGATTGTACTGCCCTGGGCAATATAACCGGTGTTACGGGAGGAAAAGGTGTATTTAAGCTGATATTAATGGCCTAACGTTAAGTCTTGTAAGAATGACAGAGCGATTGCTAAAGGTAACAGGTTGCAGTTTCATCAGCTGAGTCATTTACTCCCAGATGGGGAACTTCACCACAAGATAAAGGAATTGCCTTTGCTCGGCTGCCACAGAGACAACGGCTAACTTGGCATTCCGAAACCCCCCG